TGTAAACATGAGGACAGTAAGAAACCTAATTTTCGCTATTCGGTGGACTTATTGTGCTACTGAAAGTCTCTTTATTAACAGGATTAACAAGCTGCTCTTTGCTCCAGCATAGTGTCGCCTAATTCAATTTAGTTACGGAGCTTGCTACATCACCCGAACCGATAGGGTGTTGAACTCCGGACTCCGGGGATATGTGCCTGCATATTTGCAGCGTGGAATCAATCAGTCTCATATCACCTACTAACGAACACCACCTGCCTCATCCAGAGGTAAACGCCTACTGGCCATGCGTCGTCCGTCTAATCCTGTTTCAATCAACTTACTGTGTTTTCCCGAGGTCGTCGTGAACAGTGGAGTCAAGTCTGCATACTGTGAGTTTCTATGAAGAGATGGATGTGACATCTGTCCACCCCCTCCTCTACCTTGTTCCGACACACTCTAGCTGTAATCACATACATTTTCCCGTTAATGTAATGACTGATAAAACAAAATGTGACCAAACTGCCCGTCTCGTGTATCGCTCCGTCGGCTTAGATGAAAGGTTGACCACCTGCGTACGGTTGGAACCTAGAAGTGAGGTTGACTCCATAAAGACGCTCATGCGTAGGTAACTATTAAATGGTTCCGGCATCACGCAACCTGCAGGTGGGACAGAATGTGCAATGTTACTGGGTTGTTATTAGGTCTTGTACTCACAGATGCACGCAGATCCACCCACGCAGGGCACTTGATAGAGATAAAGAACGGAATACTGAAGACATGTGAAGAGGGAGATGACCAGATGCATCTTACAGGTACAGTAGACGTAAAGCTCAAAATCTGCCGCAGCTAAATATGGAAGCTGGAATCAACCGAGCCATGAGAGAAACATGGGAGGCAGGAAGTAGGTCTCTGACAGAAAGCCACGTTGATTACCTTGTAGTGCGATGGTTATCGGAACGTTCAGTGACTCTCGAAAGCATTCGTCTCCGGTTAGAGAAAAAGTTCGTTGTGGTCAGCGTGAACACGGTAGCACGATATCTCGACGGACGACTAATAATGCAGAAGTTACACGCAGTCCTAGAATACGTGAACACGGAGGATAACAAGAGGCGAAGAAACTCCTTCGTTACGGAACTGGTGAAACTGGAGTTCGAAGGAAGACAAGTCGTGTGGATATTTGCAACAGATGTTAACCTCTTGTGTTCTCGCACCAGGAGGCATTCGCCGCTTGGAACTCGTGCTGAGTGTAAGGTACCAAACACTTGAGGGCAAAATTTGCATCTTGTTATAGCAATGACGATCGACGGTCTGAAAGTGTGTGCCATAATGAGAGGCAGTTTAAACAAGGATAGGTGTACGGGATCGTTGCGTCATGAAGGGGTCGTCCCTCACCTGAATTGGCGGTTGGCTGTTGTTCGGCACTCGAGCTCAATGACCCCCCACAAGAAAGAGAAAAGACCGGTTTCGGACGACCAGAGAAGAAGCAAGATGTATCGGCTGATCACACCGGCCAATATAGTCAACTGGAACATTGGCGAACAGTATATAAGACTCGCATGGAAATATCTGGAAGCGTCAGCTTACCACCATTCATGCAATGCCACTATCGTGCTAATTCGCCAGTTCATCCAGTTGGTTACGTATTCATCCAATTCATGCGGGCGTGTCTCTACTCACCGGCCATGCTTTGGCTCCGTATGGGTGATCGGTGCCTCAGCTGCTTGACCAGAGGTTTCCTTCCTAGCACATCAAATGTTGAATACCAACGTCTCAGCTTTTATCTAAATATATCTGCTGATCTTTGATAACGCGCCCTACCACACGAATCTGGAACACGTATTCCAAGAGGAGCTGTGTCGTTGGGGGAGCCTCCCACGTCTTGCTCCATATCCTCCGCCACCGGATCCACTTGCATTTGGAGCACTTTAATGACATCCGCAAAGCAAACTATAAGAAAACAGTATCCCGCGGTGCTCGAGGAAGATCCTGAGGGTACCCTTTGCGAGAACGAGTGAAGGATGTGTTTCCTGCAGCGTGTTGTGTCAGAGGCGCGAGCTCGCGTGACACAGTAGCATTGGGAAGGAATGAGCCAACACGTGAGAAGTAATTACGCTCGTGCATTAAATTTCATAGACTTGCAAATCGATTGTATTCCACTAATTTAGGTGTGTTCAAATTGAACTAGTGCTGTTGTTTCTATGTGTCATGAGACAGTTGTTGTGGCACGCTCTGCTTCATCAATCTAGATCCCAATTGAGGGATGCATGATGGTGTTCAGGAACACAGGGGATCCTGAAGATTCGTGGTAATCAGGATGGCAATTACAGTGCTGCTAATGGTGGTAGACCAGGTGTTGTTGTGAGCACTTGACGCGTCGATAAGTTAGGAATTGCACACATCTGTACTGTAAACAGAACTACGGTGCTTAAAAAGCATTCATTTTACTGATTGTCAAGTTAAGCAGACTATTTTCGGTGGCTCAAAATAGTCCCTTATGTCACATATAATTGTGGAAGCCTGGTATAGGTGAGATACGCAAACACTAACGACGTTCGCCACTGAGTCGTTCCATGGTGCTAAATAGCTGTTTGCCACATCAATGGACTGTGAGGTTGACTGTGTTCGTTGCAGCAACTAAGTTGTACCGACGTAGGCGATACAGCCTGAGTCGTCCGATGGTTCCATTTCGCTAGCAGCACATCGTTCGACAGAACCGCTTACTCAACAGAAGACGTAGTGGCAATCGCCTTTACACTATCCACTGGGAACTACCATTTATCCCTCGACTGCAATCAGCTGAAGGCAGATGGAGTGCTGTACTTGACTTCAGTTATCCTCAAGCGCAATGCGTGTCCATCGTCTAACACACACTAGGGCCGCAACAGCGCGGGCTCAAAAGTTACTCAGCTTGATGGAGTGCAAGCAGTGCGCTGGATCCACCTCACCAGCTTTACCAATAGTGTGCACCAGTTCACACGTGACAAGTCGTGCAGTTGCAGCCAGCCCCTACCTCATGTCTATGCATCGATCGTGCTGCGGATGCTAGCGTTCTCACGTGTTTATTGTTCGCGTCGGCTATCAGGGTACGGCGTTCAGGGCTTTGTGCTAGTGTCCCTCTTCACCAATTGGTCCCTTGCTTCAGTAGTGCTGTGTGTCACGCGCGCGCCTTCACCATTTCAGTGCAAACGGTCAAGAAGTGAACACACTGCGTGGGCACTGACGAGAGAATCACGTACAGCGTGCTCAACCGCCGCGTTTTGCTATGCGTGTGGCTCCAGTGTAGCCGTTCGTTGCTTTGATTCTCGGAAGTGCCTAGTACCCCCAAAACGCATTCGTTCCATGCGCACGCAACGCTGTCCCAGAGGGTCTGCGCTTAAATCCAAGTTGGCACTCCACTTTCTGGCCATCAACGCAACCAACACGTAACTTCGTGCGTCCGCGCCGGTTGTATTGATCTTACTTGTTGGCGGGTCATTTTGGGGTGTTCGTTGTGTGATTGGATTGCGATGCGCAATCTCAATGTGGACAGCGATTCGCTTTGAAGCCAACCATAGCCATTTCGATCACTGGATCGTAGCTGAGGCGCATGGCGTTCAAGACCTGATGAGATCAAACAGGGTCGAAAGACGAGGTGAAGCACAGTAATTTACAGTTGCTTACGGACGAATAGGACTTTTCTTAAAGAGGAATATGACTGTAGAACTCAATTGGCTGAGAAAAGATGTGGTGTTCAGACGGCGTTACGTCACCAATAACACATGCTGTGTCACATGTTACTTGTAGCGCAACGTCTCGCGTTCCCTAGGTATTACTAAAAGAATTGGAGTACATTCGGTGGGCTTGATGAATCATTGTTGCGGGCTGTAGTTTGGTGACACCTGGTCTAGCAGAAAGGTGACTATGTGATTTAGGCATATTTCCTTATCACCAGGTAATATTAGTATTAATAAACAAAGGACTTTATCATCGGCCACTTCAATACCACAGGGTCCCTGCCTATTTACATACATGGGAAAGATTTTGTTCGATAGCACACTCCGGACCTGTCCACATAAATCGATGAACAAGCTGAGCAAACACGTTTTAAACAGTGAGCAAACTACTGGGACTCAGTGGTAACAAACTGGAGCTTGAAAGAGTGCCCTGATCACCGTTCCGGTTACAGTCCTTTGATTACAGTGCTTCCAAGCGCAATAAATCGAGACTGTATGGGACGTTTTTACATTGCTTATTGGTGGTGGAGTATGTTAAAAGTGGGGCTTTGGTCTAAATTTGGTGTTCGGTGCTGTTGGTCTCCGTAGATACAACTACAGAGGTTCGTACCCTTTCCATACTGTAAAGTGGCGATGAAGTAGTTCACTCTGCGTTCCAAGTGACACGTGGCCTTTTATCTGATATAAAAGTGAATTGGCTAGGAACAAGCCTTCGGGGTGAGTCGGAATTCCATCTTTAAGATGCTAAGATACTGATAAGGGGACCACCGGATTCAAACCTGATTGCGTTCTCCACTATGATCTCTGTAACTTTTATACCTATAAATCAAGTATTCTTCTCCGATTCGGACCACACAATATGGCGGATCTGCCAGAGTTAAATGGTGGCAAAAGCCAGACCAGCTCACGCCTTGACAATCTAGTATCGCTACGTTCCAATTCGACATTTTTACACGATGCCATGTTGTGGCTGGTTACTTTTGGTTGTCCACTTTGTCCGCCTAAATAGGTTGAGTACAAATTACCCCATCGTGCAATCCACATACTATTCGAAGAAACCGGAAGCTTTCTTCCTTTTGTAATCTCCTTCTCTGGGGCATCCTGTTGCTATCAGTTAAAGTGTGACATTGACCTTGGAATCCACCGCTGGTCATGTTGACCAAGTGGCTCCTTGATACACAGTCTTCGCATAGTTCAAATATTTGTTCTTAGACTCTCCTATATTATACAAAAGCAATCATTCAAGCAGTAACAGTAAGAAGTTGAGTAAAACAATTTATTGATCACTTCCCTCTAACTTCGCAGCTACCGGCTGGTTATCTGCCTGTAGATTACTGGATTGTGTCGCACGTCAGTATTCAGATGAGACTGAGCTCTACGCAAGTCCATTACCGACTCCATGCTCTTGATTACGAGCGCTGTGTACTCCGAAGCAAATTAGTCAATCTGTTCGATTACCTTTGTCCTTTTTCCGCGACTGCAGTTCTCTCGCGCATACATGCGCCACATACAAATTTGAACTATATTACGCTCATCCACTCAACTAGCAAACATGACAGTGTTCACTGGTTGCACCAAAAGAAAGTCGAATACACAGACCTAATTGCATCGGCAGGTGGTCTGGTTGTGTCTACGAGTCCCGTTAGCAGGACGACTTCCCCCTACTCGCTCAATCTCTCGCTTCGATCCACCACCTCGGGGGGGGGGGGGGGGGCGAAACATTTCCTAGTGAGCACCCGTGCAGATGTGCTTGTGCACCCAATGCCATCTGGCTTGTGAAGCGGGAGAGGATGCCGAGGTTGAAGAGAAGTCTACACCAGTATGCGTTCAGCACAGGAAAGCTAGTGGATAAGTGGCAGACATTTCGTTTCCTCTCCTTTTCTGTGATACGCTATCCTAATAACCTACCAACGGCGATTCAATTCTAGTTTACTGCTGGCGCCAGTGGACGTGTAGCATCCCGGCATTGGCCGAGAATGACGTCTATGTCCCACTTTCCCCTCACAGGTCCCCCCCCGGAGCCATTCTAAAGATAGAATTCTTGGGATGGAACGCTTAGTTTAAACCAGGTCATCGAGCTGGACCTTGTGGAAACACAATAATCAGAAGAGTTTCTGAATAGTGATCAATGACACGGTTTCTGTCGTAAAGCGCCATTCAGTCCCCTACAGGGCATGTGACACTGATGTGCTATACCTTGACGTTCAGCCAGGGGATGTGCGCTGTTGGGTCATCATTAATACGTGGTTATTATCAGCCATTTGTTAAAGATGATTATTCTCCCTTTGCATTTTTTCAACTATCACTAGAACCCAGTTATGTTTTAACTTTTTATACTCATCCGCACATCTCATTTTTCTTTTTCATATCTCCATTGAGCGAAAAGTAACGGATATGTTCTTTGCGATCGATTGTCTAAATTAATGAACTGATCGTCTTCGAATTCCCATGTTCCTCTTTGGGGATAAAACAACCACAATTGCAGAAACTATCAACTGCAGTTGGACTACATTTACAGTTCTGTATTCCTTCAAAACCCTGGTTGGAATGCAGCGTTTCTTTCTATCGTAATTTCCGTACCATTGTCGTTATTCACCAAGACTTCCCATGAACTTGTGATTGGCCCATCTGCAAGGTAGATATTTTAATTCCTTATACTTCCTATTCTTCCTCACTTCGTTGTTGGCCATGAGTGGACTGTTCTTTTGAGGTGAAGGATTACAGCTTTAAATCTGAAAAATTATACCCACGCAAGACATATTGCCACTGACTCACTGGCGTAAAAGAAATTGACCTGCATGTCGTAACGGCCCGTAATGCATGCATAAAAGAGCCCTTATAACATTCGTTAAACAGGTGATGGCTTACATGCTATTTGCCACGCCGGCACACAGCCAGTTGGAGCATGGAAGTGTAGGAAATACTCCCCATGGAAGCAGGGCTCTTGGGGACGGTTCCATAATTGGCAGTCTTCCTTTAATTGAACTTCTGGCTAAATCTGCATTTCTTATTCTTCCCATTTTCTTAATCACTCTGATATCTTCAGACTGCCAATCACTTCAAAAACCCAGGTGGGATTCGTTATACAAAAAAGTGCAATTAGTTATTTTATACGATCTTTTTCTAAAGATTGATCAGGCCACTCAGTTGGACTGTACCTCGCAACATCGAGGAATAAACCGTTTAGTTATTTCTTTATTCTACACGTTAGCTAGAGGTGGAAAACGCCTCAGCTATTGTGCCGCAATACATAAAATGACATGCAACAGTTGCATGCCAGCTGAGCTACCGGTAACGGATGGGCATTTTTCCGGAAAGCTACCAGCCTGCCACTATGCCGCACAGAAACTCACAGCAGGAACGCCATTCAGGTCAACTCCTAGCCATGCCAGCAATTGAATCCAGCCATACTTGTTCGTTGTATTTCTAGTCCAAACCAGGGAGCCGAGACGCTCCAATTGGGGACAGCTTGGAAGTGAAGGCCGTCATTCCTCTGGACCAAATCATTGCTTGGCTGCCTCTCCTCTTCTTCAATCCAGAGCCCCGGTGCGCAAACAACGCATGTCGCCGGCAGAAGCGTATCATAGGATAGGCGGGGGGGGGGGGAAGGGGTGGGGTCCGCCCCGGGCGGCATGTGACCAGGGGCGGCAATTTTAGCCCAAATGACTGTACAATACCAATGTAAATTCATCAACATTACTTCATGACTGAAGTGATAAGAATGAAGGGTGCTAACCATACTGAGACCGAAGATAAAATTTGTACTGCAAACGTTGATATGGTTGGCGGCATCCGGTTTCGGATTTGCCTGTCACTGTGGCCAGCCACAGGACGCCTGCGCCTACAGAGGGACCACGGATGGCTTGCGCTTCACCACCCACAGCTCCAACCACACACCCCATATCCAGTGTAAACCCGAAGGAATAAGACCGGGAAACATGTGGATGGGAGCCACGTTTCATCAACGGAGCCGGCCCACACACCTTCACAGACAAACACAAGCACGCTGTATTTGGAAAATGAAGCGCACACAAGGCGGTGGCTGGACCGTAGTCCGCTCTACACTGAGTGCATGGAACCACTCTTCGAGCCTAGCACCGCCACAAGGACCGTGCACCCCGTCCCCTCCAGCAACGACCAACTGTCTCCTGGAGCCAATATGGACGAGGTAGTGGGTAATAGACAGGTAGGCACCTTGTCAACATGCACAACAAGCGCAGCCACAATGGGGATATCAAGCAACAGCCAATCACCTGGAACGACAAGGTGAAATAAAACAAATCCAATAATGCAGACAGACACGGTGGCATAACGCTAAGCTAAATAAGCATATGAAGTAAGTTGGTTTGCAGCGAATCCGCGATAAGGAAAAAATGTCCACAAGTTAGTTAAAACTGCTACAAAACGCAACAAGGTTAACGAAGATAAGCGCTATTAATGTAAGCAACGTGGCTAGTTAACAGAAGATTATTCAGGTAGGCAGAACAAACCAAATAAAGTGGAATGAAATTTAGCCAGGTTAAAAAGACCTAGTTTAATTTTACTTACAATTACAATTAAACGTTGATATATAGGCAACAGAAAACCACATTGACTGCAAAGATTCGGCGGGGAATACTTATAATGCTGATGCAAAAGTTGCGCTCGTGGTTAAAGAATTGGAAACGTAACCACATTTTGGCACGATAACACCCGCATCAAACGATTGTGTGGACGTCTGTTAGGGGCCTGTTAATTTTTGCCATGAAATTCGCACTATGCTTGCCCCGTTCGAATTTACTGTCATGTAGCAGGTCGCTCATGAATTCAATAAGTGTTACTACCTCAAACGAATACTAAAGCATAGGCTAAGGAGCTCACAACGAACTGGTTTTCTGAGATGTGAGAAATGGTGAGCAAAAATTGCGAACACGTATGGTGTATTCTCCTTCAGATAGGCCCTGTTTGGTTTCGGCTGCAGAATGGTTTCAAAGTAATAGTCTAATCTTTCGAGGGTTGAGGGTTTCAGAAACCGGTGGAAACTAAATCCAAAGGCATGTGAAGACGAATCTAGTAAATAGAGAGTTCAATCATTCCTCAACCACAAGGAGCTAGCGATCCGGCTAGTTGAAGGCGCTAGGAGATTGAGAAGTGTACATGTAATTTTTGTTAAAAGTCTTCGTTACCCGTTTGTGTTTCGCTACCGTTTGTTTCTTGACATTTTGTTTCAACACATTAATTCTTTGCTCTGATTGCCCGGCCCACGTCGTTCGAAATGGATATCATCTCAGGGATCTATTTCTACGAATGCCATTTCCTCGAACTCGCCTGCTTGGTTCATACGTTTACCACATCTTATTCGCCTGCATTATTCAGTGTCTCCTACGCTGATGCTTGGCTTCAACGTGTTTTAGTAGCCTGGCTTCAACTACTGCTGTACCCTATTTAAATGAGCAGATTACTCGTGTAAATAACACTGTCCTTACTCATCTTCGTGTTCTTCCGTCGCTAGTGGGTGCGTAAACAGTCGGCTGACGAGACAACAGAAGGAAAGGCAATCGAAAAAATGGAGCTAACACTTGTATAAAGGTGGTGGCGTGAAATTCTAGTTAGCATACTTGCTATTGTCAGAGTTCTCGCCAAGCAAAACCCGAAGTTGCGTGGTCACCGAGAAGATATCTCAGGATAACCAAAAGTTAAGAACACAGAGGGAATTTTTCGGAAGTTGTGCATTTATTGGCCAAGTATGAATCGGTTATTCTTGAAAATTTGGTGACAGTTCAGTTGGGAAGAAAAATCAACACTTTCCCTTTGTCACCACACGTTTAAACTGCATTTGTGAGCATTCTGTCAGTGCAGCTCTGGTAGAAAACCATTGCGCGGGTCAAGGTACACAAGTATATTTGCTTCACTTGTGATAGCAATCCCGATGGATCACACAAAATTCAGATGAGTGAAAATGAAGTGACTGTAGAGGGGTCGTTTTTCAGTTTCATTGAGACCAACTGCAATAAGACAGAGGAAATTGCTGGACTGCTTTTCGAGAACCGGAGAAAGATGGAATTCAGCTTGGTGACTGCGTGGCCATGCATTTGGCAATGCTCCTGTTTGTCCAAACAGAGACATCTGCGAAATCAACTCGAAGCTACATTTGTGCCATACACAAACCATACCCTGAATCTGGTTTGTGTACATCAAGCTTGTAGGATGGTTCACTGTTACATTTTTGGTACGATGAACCGGCTATTCTGATTCTTTGTTCATCTATATATTGCTGGAATGTCTTGATTCAAGTCACCGGTATGAGTATCCAGTGCCTGTTAAATCTGGGTGGAAAGGTTGAGCAGGCGCTCTAACTATTGTGGTGAGGAAATACTCGAAACTTGTCACTTCTCTAAAACATTTCACAGAATAGGGAGAAAATGCAATCACAAGATCAAATACATCTTTAAAGCTCATCTCGATATTGTCGCTACCGTTCATTGTGTTTCTGAGTTTTGGAGATCTGTTCTCCCAGAAACCAAGGATGCACAGATATGTTTAAACAAAACGGCTGGAGCTGAAGAAATGTTCTGTCAAGCGCACGACCTTAAGAGTTTGCCTTCTTCAGAATAGAAAGAAAATGGTGGATATTGAACTGGATGAATCCGAAAACACTACGCTGATTTGGGGATTATCCCCAATCCCAATCCACCAAAAGAAACGAGTAGACAGTGAGTAATTGTTTGATATATCGATAGGAGTTGACGTTGAGTTAAAACGGGAACTGTTGTCTGTCATAAACAGTTTGACTGCTGAAA